GCCTTGAGTGTACCGTTTGTGCCTATTCAATTCGCACACGTTGTCCGCCTTCCGTGTACCGTTTGTGCCTCAGCCAATTCGCACACGTTGTCCCCCTTCCGTGTACCGTTTGTGCCTCAGCCAATTCACACATGTTGTCCGCCTTCCGTGTACCGTTTGTGCCTCAGCCAATTCGCACAAGTTGTCCGCTTTGGGTGTACTGTTTGTACTTTAGTCAAGTCCTTCAGTTTCATCTTCAGATATATCAATGATTTGCTATCTTTGATTATCAAGAAATTAATTTACAACATTGATCGTAGACACGACCGTCTCTTCTGCTTTAGTCGGTTTCCTTTATCTGTACTGTACCTTAGCCAACTTGTACATGTTGCCTGTTGTACATCTTTGCTGTGTTGATACTTTGCCCTAGTTTTATTAATTCTTAGTTTGAAATATGGTTTGTTGACACTGAAGTAATCTCGTGGTTTTTTGCCCATGTATCCCTGATATGAATATATGAACATTCATTTGATCAAACTTGGTAGCCCTTCATCCCAGCATGTACCGATCAAATATTTTCACCTTGGTCCTTTTGGTTATTAAGAAGTTGGTTTTTAACTATTTTAAGACAATTGACCCCTGTGACCTTGAATATGGATGACGGTCATTCATTCGAACATTGGAAGCCCTTTATCCGAGCATGCTTCTGGCCAAATATTACCACCATGGGAGTTTTGAGTATTCTTTAAAAGTTGTTCATACGGGTTTTTTAAGACAACTGACCCATGTCACCTTGAATATGGGCAAAGGTCATTGATTTGAACAAACTTGGAAGCCCTCCAGCCAGGCATACTTCTGGCTAAATTTCATCAACAAATCCATTTTGGTTAATCAGAAAAAGTTGTTAAAAGTTCTTGTCATATTTCAACCCTGTGACCTTGAATATAAATCAAGGTCATTCATTTGAACAAACTTGCCTGCCCTTTATCCTGGCATATTACCTGCCAAATATGAGCATCCTAAGCCTTTTGGTTATTCATCAGAAGTTGTTCAAGATTTTAATATATTTGACCTCTTGACCTTGAATATGGGTGAAGGTCATTCATATGAACAAGTACAAACAACACAGCCACATTATTAGTTGTAAATATATATTTTTCAATAATCTTTTTTGTGAATATTATATACACAGACGGTATTCTATATATATACAAACAAAAGTCAATATAAACATGCACTACAACAGTCAATAGACTTGTGTATACACATTCTCAAAAATCAGTAAACAATATAGAAACTGATTACACACATAGTTTGAATACCATTGTCCTTCCTTACATTTGTCACCCATTATGATGATGTGAAGGCTGCAGTGAGCCACCTGTACAGACTGCAGGCTGATGTTCACAATGACATGTCTTGGTCAAGTTATCAATTTCATTTCACCTACTTGTTACTTACACCTGTTTCTTTGTAATATCTTACATAAATATGATAACTAATGACCAGACAGTATCAGACTTACATCAGAAAGGCTGGCAGGCCCCTCAACATGTATATTAGATGTCAGATACTGCAGACTTCTGACAATCGTGTCAATTTTTCATATATAATTGCACACATCCCAAACCATGTGTTCCTCATACTCTCATCTCTACAAAGAAAACTGTAAAAGAATAAAAAAAACACAGTCATTGCATCCTACCAGAAAGGCACCTATTTCCCTTACACTACAACCCTTACTGGCATCATCTTGTCCATCAGTTTAACCTTGACAGGGAGCCCAGAGGATCATCTTACAGTGGTTTCTAGCTTTTCTTTGATTTACACTTTTCTAATTATTTTTGAAGAAGTGTCATGCAAGAAATAATTTTAGCCTCTTTACTGTAGAAGGACAGATGACATCTCTAATTTCAGATTGTATATCTAAGGTCATCATGATATCTTAGATCTCTGTTCATGTATGTAAGGGTGGATGGAATGTCAATAAAAGCTTGTAAACAAATAACAGAAAAGGCTGAAATAATGACAGAGACACAATTCAGTGTAGCCCTGGACACTGACAGATAGAGAGGTACCAGGTTATTCAGCATAGCCCTGGACACCCTGACAGAAAAAGCCTAAGTTCACAAAAACCTTGTGCCCTTATACAGATAGACAAAAAGTCATACCTCCCCCAATGACACAAGGTTTAGTGTAGCTTTGCTGTGGCCTTGCCTCCCCCAATGACACAAGGTTTAGTGTAGCTTTGCTGTGGCCTAGTGTAGCTTTGCTGTGGCCTTGCCTCCCCCAATGACACAAGGTTTAGTGTACCTTTGCTGTGGTCTTTCATTTCAATTGCAAGTCAAGACATGAAGGACGGCCATAGTACAAATGTTGTATGGTAGAATGCTACGATTATTGTCCTAGTTGGCTAAATATTGTTCCAATTTTATGTACCAAAATGAAACAGGCATATTCTGAATAAATTTGTCTTAGAAAAAAACATATCTAGTAAGTTACCGAACAAGAAAAATATCTGCAAAAGTGTTTACTTAAATTTCATGTGGAAAACAAATCTGTATAAAACAGCTAAACTAAGATTTTCAAAGATGAGAGCATGTGAACACTATATAAAGTACTGGCTACAGATAGCTGTGATCATAAACCATAGCTTACTATATAAAGTACTGGCTACAGATAGCTGTGATCATAAACCATAGTTTACTATACAAAGTACTGGCTACAGATAGCTGTGATCATAAACCATAGCTTACTATATAAAGGACTGGCTACAGATAGCTGTGATCATAAACCATAGTTTACTATACAAAGTACTGGCTACAGATAGCTGTGATCATAAACCATAGCTTACTATATAAAGTACTGGCTACAGATAGCTGTGATCATAAACCATACCCGATACCTAAAACTCCTATATAAATATGAAGTGAGGAGTACACCCGCTGTAGTACTGGCTACACCAGTCCTCAAACAACAAGTGAAACTCAGTTTTCATTTGAATAATTACCAAATATCGGAGACATAATTCTGAATAAATCCTTGGATGTAACCTGTACACCATTGATATCAGTTGAAGCTTTGTTATTACACTGATTAATGCCCATGTAAACCTACTTTGAGACTAGTTACCAGTGACACACCAGGCAGGCAGACAGTCAGGCAGTTTCTCTAAGGAGTTAGCTCCCTTTACATTGAGTTTTGACTCAAATTACGAGGGGGCAAAATCTTGCACACTTTGGCTATTTTTGATTCTAACTCCACTAAAACTGCCTTGTTTTGGTTGTTTAGTAGGTGTGATGTTTGGATAAATGTGTCTAGCAATAAAATATAATGTTAGATGTAATATAAATGTTACAGAGATATTTTGATAATACTTTGTTTATAGGTATACGGACAGTGCAGAATAAGCAACACACAATTTGGCATAGTTTTGACAATATCATGAATTGAGAGAACATATACCCAAATATATTCAAATACATATATCTGTGCATCAAATCAAACTGGTGATAAATCCCAATACACTTAATAGTGAAAACAGACGAAGGAAAGATGCCCACTGTGCGTCTGTAGATCACATGTATCTTTATATAACTAATAATAATTTTCAGGTTAACTAGTGTGGATACTCATTCACAGATCAAATCTTTCTTTTGTAAATATAACTTCCAGAGATAATTGTTAACTATAATGAAAAACTTACCTCTCAATCATGATTTTTTGTATTTTTATATAAAACCCTAAGAGGCATAGTTTTCTAAATAACATAAAGTAAATAATTTACAACATGTCACCATAGTTACATGTCCAGATATGACATCAGTCAAACATGACACCAAGCTATGACATCAGTTCAACATGACATCAAGATATGACATCAGTTAAACATGACACCATAGTTACATGTCTAGATATGGCATCAGTTAAACATGACACCATAGTTACATGTCTAGATATGACATCAGTTAAACATGACACCATAGTTACATGTCTAGATATGACATCAGTTAAACATGACACCATAGTTACATGTCTAGATATGACATCAGTTAAACATGACACCATAGTTACATGTCTAGATATGACATCAGTTAAACATGACACCATAGTTACATGTCTAGATATGACATCAGTTAAACATGACACCATAGTTACATGTCTAGATATGACATCAGTTAAACATGACACCATAGTTACATGTCTAGATATGACATCAGTTAAACATGACACCATAGTTACATGTCTAGATATGACATCAGTTAAACATGACACCATAGTTACATGTCTAGATATGACATCAGTTAAACATGACACCATAGTTACATGTCTAGATATGACATCAGTTAAACATGACACCATAGTTACATGTCTAGATATGACATCAGTTAAACATGACACCATAGTTACATGTCTAGATATGACATCAGTTAAACATGACACCATAGTTACATGTCTAGATATGACATCAGTTAAACATGACACCATAGTTACATGTCTAGATATGACATCAGTTATATATCAATTATGTTGTTCCTACTGGTTATATTGATAAATAATCACAACAAAGCGATTATTATATATATAAATTCTATAGTAATTTAGTATTCTATATAATACCCAAGTCATCATTCCTTCATTAAATGGTTATGGTTGAAAGATTACATGTTTATATTATTAGTACCTTTATATCAGTTCACTATGACTACAGATTTATCAGAGCAAAATGAAATATTGTCAACAAGAAACCAGTCATAGAATGCCCATCGTTACAGGATATGGTTGACAACCATAGTCATACGTACAGAGGCCAAGGTTACAGGACATGGTTGACAACCATAGTCATACATAGAGAGGCCAAGGTTACAGGACATGGTTGACAACCATAGTAATTGGTACAGAGGCCAAGGTTGCAGGACATGGTTGACAACCGTAGTCATGCATAGAGAGGCCAAGGTTACAGTACATGGTTGACAACCGTAGTCATGCATAGAGAGGCCAAGGTTACAGTACATGGTTGACAACCGTAGTCATGCATAGAGAGGCCAAGGTTACAGTACATGGTTGACAACCATAGTCATTGGTACAGAGGCCAAGGTTACAGGATATGGTTGACATTTAAAAAAGTCATAAATTTATTTAGAAGTTACAGATGATAAGTATTTCAAGATACATTTACTTCTTTAGGTCAAAGTTCAGCACAGTGTAAAAGTCAAAGAACTAAAACATTAGACAGATCTCACCTTCACATGAGAAACAGCAGTCGTTACAGTGATATCAGCACTTACAGGTAAAGTGTTAGCCAGAATTCATTTGTTGTCAATCATAATTTGAGCTTTCAAGTTGGATGGTCTACTATTTCAATTAAAAAAATGAATTCCAGCCAACAAAAAGGAAAGAGTAACCAATAATAATGGTTGTGATACTCAGGCAATCTTTTATAGTAAAAGTCTCCAAAAACCAATGTTGCTACCAATATACCTCTAGATACTGTTTTACATCATGTTAATAGAGAGTCAAACACGAAAAGATTGCCATCACAATTTATAGTCATATAAGGCAAGATAATGTTATAATGTATAATTAAATATATGTATATAAGGGATTGATCCCCTTCAATATCACAGTTACTGAACATATACAAACAAAGGCAAACTTAGATGTTAGTATGTCTGTAGGACATACACTATATATATATATCTGATAATTGTCATGATTCAAGTAATGATCCTTATAACAAAAATATCTAGTATAAAGATAGCAAAGAATGTACATGTAACAGGTACGTATAGAACAAAGATTGTTAGACAACAGAGCCTGAAATCACATCCAAACAGGTCATTAGGTTGTAGAGCCAAGTAGTTCAAGGCTCAACACTAACTTATTAAACAAAAAGTAACTTTCTGAAATAATAAAACTGATACCTATACAACACAGAAACATGAAAATAGTTAACAATGTCTAACAGAGACCAGGAGGACCATTTAATGGAGTTAGCGACTTTTTAACAGAAGGTCCTACAAACGTCAGATAAACATGATATCAGAAGGTTTACATATAAATGTTAGATGTGGACTGCATGATCATATAATTGTTTAACTGTCCAGGGCTTCACATTCTCAGGTAAAATTATCAAAACCTACTACTTAAACTGATATAAATCCCATAAGCGACTTAACCCAGTCAAATGTTGTATCATATCACCGACTCCAGTTTTATACAATTGCAATGTTCTATGTGACAAGTAAAGAGGTAATCTGATGAGACTGGTCGGATAATGCAACAAAAACTAAGCCCTGTACATCAGTCACCTCCTTCGCTGGCTGGATCCTGTTGGACATTAGAGACATAGGCTTGTAACATACAAAATAACAACCTTCATCATTGATGGTTCCCTCAATAAAAGATTGAAGTAGATTTATCCTTGCATTTTATAACAGGCCATATCATCACCTCTATTGAAGTTAAACGAAATACTGGCGAAAAATCAATAGAATTGCAATCCTAGCCTAGTTTACATATCCCACGGTTACCCACTTTCTATTTGCTACTATAACCCTTCTGAAACACTGGATGTGTGTGTAGACTAAGCTATAGAGTTTTGGTAAATGTATTATCATTTTTATGACACAACATTCTTCTGAATGAAAAGTAGACTGGTGTTTCAGAGGTAGATACATTTAAAACCCTACACCTTCATGTGCTTCAATTCAACTTCACTTTTCAGTACAATCCACTGAATTTGAGTGATAACACATTATATGAAAAATTTAACTGTGCTTATCTTTTGTAGAATACATTTTCATTGTAAGGACACATGCATCTAGCTGATTATTAGAAACACCATTATTTGGCAAATTGTAAATTATTTTAACAAATGTTGAAGATATGAAATACATGATTCTGAAAAAGATGAAAAATAATTAAATCAAATGCATAGTTCTCCATATTCACGAAGGCTAAAGTAGGGACTTTTACGTCATTGATAGAAAACATAGAAAAACAGGTGTTGGTTACAAATGATCAGTCGTACATTGTCAGATCAGTTACAACAGAATCTCGTATCACAATGGTAACGTACAAATCAAGCATTAAAATGACTCGACAACGTAAATTCAAACTTCGAGATGATCCTGAATCAGAGAATCTCAACCTCCAAAAGCTTAAGGATGTCCAAACGTGGAACAATTAAAGCACAAGATGTGTCCTTGGTTACATGCCTAGTTGTCCTTGGTTACATGCCTAGATGTAGCAAGTGTCCTTGGTTACATGCCTAGATGTCACAAGTGCTATAAGTCTGCAGTCTGATGACGTTTCATATGTAATGCTAAATGGTCCGATCTTGAAAAACACCGCTCACACACTTTGCACCGGAATGGTTTTGAACCTGTATGTTTACGATAATGTCGTGTGAGCTCATCTGAGCGTGCAAACCTCCAATCACAGCCTTCCCATGTACACTTGTATGGTTTTTCACCTGTAAGATAAAAACATCAACAATGCCAAATATTAACAGGATAATTCAGTATTTAGAAACATTCTTTTTGTATTAGAGCATACATGTATTTAACTTTGTATCTGAACGTAATTGTATTTAACTTTGTATCAGAACATACATGTATTAACTTTGTATCAGAAGGTACATATATTTAACTTTGTATCAGAACATACATATATTTAACTTTGTATCAGAACATACATATATTTAACTGTGTATCAGAACGTACATATATTTAACTTTGTATCAGACCGTACATGTATTTAACTTTGTATCAGAACGTACATATATTTAACTGTGTATCAGAACGTACAGATGTTTAACTTTTTATCAGAACGTACATATATTTAACTGTGTATCAGAACGTACAGATGTTTAACTTTTTATCAGAACGTACATATATTTAACTTTGTATCAGAACATACGTATATTTAACTTTGTATCAGAACATACATACATTTAACTTTGTATCAGAACGTACATATATCTAACTTTGTATCAGAACATACATATATTTAACTTTTTATCAGAACGTACATATATTTAACTGTGTATCAGAACGTACAGATGTTTAACTTTTTATCAGAACGTACATATATTTAACTGTGTATCAGAACGTACAGATGTTTAACTTTTTATCAGAACGTACATATATTTAACTTTGTATCAGACCGTACATGTATTTAACTTTGTATCAGAACGTACATATATTTAACTTTGTCTCAGAACGTACATATATTTAACTTTGTATCAGAACGTACATGTATTTAACTTTGTATCAGAACATACATGTATTTAACTCTGTATCAGAACATACGTATATTTAACTTTGTATCAGAACATACATACATTTAACTTTGTATCAGAACGTACATATATCTAACTTTGTATCAGAACATACATATATTTAACTCTGTATCAGAACGTACATATATCTAACTTTGTATCAGAACATACATATATTTAACTCTGTATCAGAACGTACATATATTTAACTTTGTATCAGAACGTACATATATCTAACTTTGTATCAGAACATACATATATTTAACTGTGTATCAGAACGTACATATATTTAACTTTGTATCAGAACATACGTATATTTAACTTTGTATCAGAACATACATATATTTAACTTTGTATCAGAACGTACAAGTATTTAACTTTGTATCAGAACGTACATGTATTTAACTTTGTATCAGAACGTACATATATTTAACTTTGTATCAGACCGTACATGTATTTAACTTTGTATCAGAACGTACATATATTTAACTGTGTATCAGAACGTACAGATGTTTAACTTTTTATCAGAACGTACATATATTTAACTTTGTATCAGAACGTACATGTATTTAACTTTGTATCAGAACGTACATATATTTAACTGTGTATCAGAACGTACAGATGTTTAACTTTTTATCAGAACGTACATATATTTAACTGTGTATCAGAACGTACAGATGTTTAACTTTTTATCAGAACGTACATATATTTAACTTTGTATCAGAACATACATGTATTTAACTTTGTATCAGAACATACGTATATTTAACTTTGTATCAGAACGTACAAGTATTTAACTTTGTATCAGAACATACATGTATTTAACTTTGTATCAGAACGTACATATATTTAACTTTGTATCAGAACATACATATATTTAACTTTGTATCAGAACGTACATATATCTAACTTTGTATCAGAACATACATATATTTAACTTTTTATCAGAACGTACATATATTTAACTTTGTATCAGAACGTACATATATTTAACTTTGTATCAGAATGTACATGCATTTAACTTTGTATTGGAACATACATGTATTTAACTTTGTATCAGAACATACATATATTTAACTTTGTATCAGAACATACATATATTCAACTTTGTATCAGAACGTACAAGTATTTAACTTTGTATCAGAACGTACATGTATTTAACTAAATATAATCTTATTATTGAGGAAAAAGTTAATTGAGCAATGTGATGTTTAACTTAGTGAAATGAAGTGATTACACATACCTGTGTGTGTCCGTAAATGTGCCTTTAGATGAGAACTTTTTGTGTAGACTTTTTTACAGCCACTGTAGGGACATTTGTGATTTCTACGCCGGAGGTCAGGACTGACCTCAGTTCGTATTCGCCCGTTGACAGGAAGTGGTGGGCGCTGCTGGGGTTGTGCAGTGTATGGACGCATACGGCCATTGGGACCAGCTACATAAGCAATGCGCTGGTGGCGGTTTATCATCTCTGCTGAATTCAGTCTTACGGCCACTGTGGTTGTACGACCTGGTTGAGCAACAAGTCTAAGGGCAAAAGGGTCATTTGATTTTGGCATTATGGGAGACAAAGGGGGGTCACTGTTGTTGCTATCCCACGATACACCACTGGATGATGAACTAAAACTGTGCAAACTAATTGTGTCCGAAGGCTGATCATTCAAATTTAAATGAGCTGCTAGTTCTTCCAATTTGGCTTCAGTTTCATCTTCATCATAATCATCATCATCATCTTCATCGTCATCATCATCATTTTCGTCATCCTCCTCTTGTTGATATAGGGGTTCTGGAATCTCAGATTCATCGTCTTCCTCCTTGTATTCTATCTTTATATTGTTGGGGCTAAGAAATTTCTCCGGGGGTGAAGACCCAGACAGAGCATTGGCCGGGAAGCAGCCCTCCCAGGGGGTTCCTGATCCCTTGGTGATCTTTTTGAAGGAGGTCAGTTTAGGCTCACTTTTGAGGTAACGCTCCATTTCAAGGCAGTTCTAAAATGACAAAAGATACAACCAACATTAGCATAGGGACCAATGAACAGTGTGTTTAAATAATTGATCTAGATGTGAGCAATGACCACAAATCACAAATCATGCTCAAATGAGTAGAAGATTGATTTATATGCCAAGGTTACTTTCAAATTCACACAAAGTGTTATTCAATCAGTATAAGATAATTCTACACAAACGTTACATAAGGCACGTATACACCCTCAGATTTGTATTTAATTTGAACACATTGACTTGATCATAATCAAAAACTACCAATGAAGACCTGAATCTACTGTTATTTCAAATGTTTTGACTTAAACATGATTCACCAATGACAAAATGGTTCCAAAATAAGGTACACAGTTATCTATGTGTAAAAACTTACACAAGATAAGGTACATAGGTATCTATGTGTAAAAACTTACACAAGATAAGGTACATAGGTATCTATGTGTAAAAACTTACACAAGATTAGTTACACTGGTATCTATGTGTAAAATCTTACACAAGATAAGGTACACAGGTATCATATGAGATGTACATTGCTATATTGGCTCAAATTATATCAAGTTACCACCTAAAGCTCATAGATATATAACTAGCTGTTATATTAGTTAATAAAAATTGTATACCTGAGAATGTCCCCTGTAATATCCTGCCTCACAGCTGTCTAATCTATAATAATCATACCCACAAAATATCAAGTGACAGATCATCCAAAGGTGAACCACTGGTCATTACAGCATCAGCTGTTTGTGTGACTTAAAACCACAGCAACTTATAGCAGCTTCAGTCATTACAGTCACTTAATTTATATATATATATGCATGTTTGTCAATAACACAATATATATATACATACGTGGCGATCCTATACATGTCAATATATACTTGTCAGAGCATATCTCTGATTTAACATTTGCCATTTTACTTGAGGATCTGTTGAAACAACTTTAATTGGGATGTTATGATTGTATTTGATGAGTAAATAAATGGAAATTGAAGTCTGGATCAATTGATCAATCTCCATGATCAGGAGATAGCTGCACACAGGCTAAACTTGCAAACATGCACAAATTACCTTTCTGGTACAGGGTTAACAGGAGTTATTGCCCCTAAAAATATTTTACTGTTTCACAGCATGAGCTGACTGTTTAGGGCCATCTAGGCCAGACAGAGGGGCTATGGGCCAGACATACTGTTTAGGGCCTATGGGCCAGATAACCCAGACCAATATCCTGTTTAGGACCTGTGGGCCAGAGGACACCTACCAATATACTGTTTAGGGCCTATGGGCCTGACATACTGTTTAGGACCTGTGGGTCAGAGAACCCAGACCGATATCCTGTTTAGGACCTGTGGGCCAGAGAACCCAGACCAACATACTGTTTAGGGCCTAAGGGCCAGATAACCCATACCAACATACTGTTTAGGGCCTAAGGGCCAGATAACCCAGAGCAATATCCTGTTTAGGACCTGTGGGCCAGAGAACCCAGACCAATATACTGTTTAGGGCCTATGGGCCAGCTAACACAGACCAATATACTGTTTAGGGCCTATGGGCCAGAAAACCCAGACCAATATGCTGTTTAGGACCGATGGGCAAGAGGAAACATACAAATATACTCTTTAGGGTCTATGGGCCAGACATACTGTTTAGGGCCGGTGGGCCAGAGAACCCAGACCAATATCCTGTTTAGGACCTGTGGCCCAGAGGACACCTACCAATATACTGTTTAGGGCCTATGGGACAGAGAACCCAGACCAATATGCTGTTTAGGACCGATGGGCCTGAGGAAACATACCAATATACTCTTTAGGGTCTATGGGCCAGACATACTGTTTAGGTCCTGTGGGCCAGAGAACCCAGACCAATATTCTGTTTAGGGCCTATGGGCCAGAGAACCCAGTCCAATATGCTGTTTAGGACCCATGGGCCAGAGGACACATACCAATATACTGATTAGGGCCTATGGGCCAGAGAACCCAGACCAATATGCTGTTTAGGCCCGATGGGCCAGAGGACACATACCAATATGCTGTTTAGGGTCTATGGGCCAGACATACTGTTTAGGGCCGGTGGGCCAGAGAACCCAGACCAATATCCTTTTTAGGACATGTGGGCCAGAGAACCCAGACCAATATGCTGTTTAGGACCGATGGGCCAGAGGAAACATACCAATATACTCTTTAGGGTCTATGGGCCAGACATACTGTTTAGGGCCTGTGGGCCAGAGAACCCAGACCAATATCCTGTTTAGGACATGTGGGCCAGAGAACCCAAACCAATATATTGTTTGGGGCATATGGGCCAAAGAACCCAGACCAATATATTGTTTAGGGCCTATGGGCCAAAGAACCCAGACCAACAGACTGTGTAGGGCCGATAGGCCAGAGAACCCAGACCAATATATTGTTTAGGGCCTATGGGCCAGAGAACCCAGACCAATATACTGTTTAGGGCCTATGGGCCAGAGAACCCAGACCAATATACTGTTTAGGGCCTATGGGCCAGAGAACCCAGACCAATATGCTGTTTAGGACCGATGGGCCAGAGGACACATACCAATATACTGTTTAGGGTCTATGGGCCAGACATACTGTTTAGGGCCTGTGGGCCAGAGAACCCAGACCAATATCCTGTTTAGGACATGTGGGCCAGAGAACCCAGATCAATATATTGTTGAGGGCCTATGGGCCAGAGAACCCAGAACAATATATTGTTTGGGGCATATGGGCCAAAGAACCCAGACCAACATACTGTTTAGGGCCTATGGGCCAGAGAACCCAGACCAACAGACTGTGTAGGGCCGATAGGCCAGAGAACCCAGACCAATATATTGTTTAGGGCCTATGGGCCAGAGAACCCAGACCAATATACTGTTTAGGACCTGTGGGTCAGAAAACCCAGACCAATATACAGTTTAGGGCCTATGGGTCAGAGGACACATACCAACATACTGTTTAGGGCCTTTCTTTTTACTGCTTGTTTCTCCTAACTTTAAACCAGGTAAACACTTATCTTTGGTCTATACTAGCTGACAAATAAAAACTCAACACCTGTTATAAATGCTAAAGTAAGCTTTTCCAGGGCATTTTAATTAACAATAGAAGAGTCTGGTAGTTCTGTCAGGTGACAATTAAGTCACTGAAATGATTTAATCATTTTAGGTAGAGAGAACTTGCTACAATATGACAGAGAATATATTAAGTTTTCTTCTAAAATGAGTTTTGAATGAAAACAAAATATTTAAGATTGTTGTGGCACTGACTCACAGCGTGGGTAGTGGGCCCATAAATATATTCACTGTGTATTTTGTATGCATGAGAAAGAGCTGCGAAAGTTCACAAATCTGTGGGAAGGTGTTTAATGATCTGTGACAAGACATGCCTCGGTGATCTGACAAATGAAGACAGAATGCCTGTGATCTGATTATTGTCACAAGCCTTACTCCACAATCTCATGTTTAATAGGACAGAGCACTAATTATAATTAACACGAGGCCCAAAGAGCATGTAGTATACCTCAGGAAACTTGAAAAAGGAGTTTGTAGAAATATGATAGTCCACATTCATCACATTGATTACATAAACATAACTGACCATACACATAACTCTGACCATAAACATAACTCTGACCATAAACATAACTGACCATAAACATAACTCTGACCATAAACATAACTCTGACCATAACCATAACTCTCACCATAAACATAACTGACCATAAACATAACTCTACCATAAACATAACTCTCACCATAAACATAACTGACCATAAACATAACTCTGACCATAAACATAACTCTGACCATAAACATAACTATCAAATAACTTCACATCAAAATTTATTCCACTTTAGAATAAGAAACTCACTTAGAAATTATAAAGCAATATATTTGTTTACCGAATGAGTATAATTCTCCAGGATAGCATTTGTCTTATGAGTGTAGTTAGGAAGGACTGGCACACCTTGTGCATGACCGGGATTAGAATTTTAATTTTAAGTTCAAACACAGTGGTGAAATTGCTCTGTTCATCAATGGAGACTATATCTGTAGCTATACCAGTATCTGGTGTGTACACTTGACCCACAAACCAGCCTTGTCAAATCACTGGTGTGCAACCACAACCGTAGGTGTATAGCCCACGCAAGGAATGTGAAGATTTTCGCACATAACTTTCATAAGATTAAATGCAAAAAAACATTTTTTTGATATTTATTAAACTTACTTGCGAAAGCATCTAGTTGATCAACTATTGTTCCCCAAACTTAACTACTAAGTGTTAAATCTGATGAATTTCTGAGCATGTGTGATCTTCTGATGGGGTCCATCGATACAGGTAAACTCATTCATGTTCACCCCAAGAATGTATACAAATTGGCAGTCTATAGAAATTGTCTGTCGGCAAGATTCTTAACTCCCCCTGGGTATTCAGCCTGGGTACTGGGGACAATACCAAGTGTATTTAAGTAGGGCTCACATTCCAGTTTTGCCTGTTTCCCACAGTTGGACACATACAGATATGTTGTCGAGCAGGTTACAGAGACCCGCTGACAGGATTATAATTACTTATGCATTTAAAGAAAAATATTTTCTTTTCTATGGAACAGTGAATGGCATGCCTGTAAGATATACGAGACTATATATATCTCTATTATCTCATTGAATAGCCTCGGGTTTTTTCTGAAAACCATACCATTCGGCCAGAACGGAAAACATTCCCGCAAAATCTGTTCATACATGAATTCAAAGAAAATATACCAATTTTGTGTTCACAAAAATATCAACTTATAATAGAAAAACTTGAAAAAAATGAACAGTATCAATGCATTTCAGGTGACATGAAGCATATACAGCAACCGATGTCCTTGGACCAAACTGGTCTGTTATTTCTGTTATTATATCTGATGTATTAAAAACAGCCTCATCTGAATGTTTCATGATATATGTTAATGTTGAAATTGTCAGGGTGAAAATGGCATCATCGAGTGTATTT